AAACAGTTACCACTTGAACCTCAACTAGCAATAGCCAGCTTTCGGAGGTGCGCTTTCAGACTTAGACACATGCGTTTTTCAACCGTCGTGCGACCCTGACAACGTTGTTGGTCACGCGGTGACAACGCTGGACATCGATCGATACGGTCGGCGGCGATCCAGTGTTGTCGACCCGTGGCCAGCAACCTGTCGGTCGGTCGCACGTCGTAGAAGTCTAAAAGCGCCCAAGTATGTACATCTCCTAGAAATCAGATTATATAAAAATGATAATGTTCGCTCCCTCGACAGTTGTACTTGTTAAGAATCGAAACATTTCACAATTGTGGCATTTAATCAGGTGCAACGGTAACGGAACGCAGCTTTTTCAAAAAAAAAAAAAATAGCGATAACGTTAGATGTATAGGAAGAGCTTAGCAAAAAATCAGCTTTGAAAAATTGACAAATTAAGAATTGGTTTGGAATATCATTGCGGTCTGAACCAACTGATGGTATTCCAGTGACAGAAGAGATGTAATGGCGAAAGGCATCTTTTCAAGCGCGTCGTCTCGGGATTGAATCTTGTAGCGATACCCGCGGAGGTCAACTCGGGGAATTGATGACAGACTCGTCTGGGATGATAAAAGATGAAGCACTTCTGTTTCATATGGAAAGTTCTCGGGTCATAAGAATGGGTCTGGTCATTGACAAGAATCTACGTCCCATATTTTATACCTTCGAGTTAGCCAGCCGGTAGCAAATAGCCTCAAGTTTTGAAATGATAAAAAACATGAAAAATTCATCAGTTGACCACTAAAAGACCTGATTGACATAAGCCATTGGCACTGTGAGGGCATTAGGCAGTGAACCACGTGATTATTCACTTGATGGGCATGAAAAAGCGGTAGAGAAGGCCTAAGAGCGAACATGGTCCAAGATCAATAGAAATAGAATAACCTCGTAAACAGCCAACTCACTACTTTTCTCATCCATTCGCTCTCCCGCTTTTAGAGATTGCTCTTCATTTTCGCGCAGCTTTTCTTTAGCCAAACTCCATATGTCCATTGTGGAAGCAGAGAGAAATGATCACTGCCGCTTACACGGACGGCGCGTTGCCATGGACGCCCTAGTCCCGGGAAACGCTGCGGCAGTGGACATCGAGCATCGTGAAGAAGCAAGTGAGGAAGCGACCTTTCTTGGAAATTACTATAAGGAGAGGTTCCTACAACGGAAAAAATTGTTGTATTAAAATTTTTTTTGTGATGGGAATGCAGAAGGACAGTGAGAAGAAGTGGGATCTCCCAGGCTTTTTATTCTTTCTTCTTCAGCTACGTCACTGTTTACTCGATCTTTGACTTTCTTTGTCGTGAGAAATCATCACAGGGCATATAGTGAGCGAAGATAGTCCATTGGCAGGTGGTGCACTTTCATGGTCCACGCCTCGGTCATCTTTCAACATGACCCATCGTATTTCAGGACTCATATTACCCTTCCGCCACCGCTACTCCAGCTGATTGTAGTCGATTAGTAAATTTGCTGAGCACGAACTGCTAAGCAGTCCCTACCTATGACAATCCTGTAAATTTTCAACGACCTTCCCATAAACCCGCGAAGCGGAGTGGTCAGGTACGATCAATATCTCATGAATTACCTAGCTGGGGGCGTCTCGAGATCAGGAGAACCTCATGGTGAGGCCCTTGCTCGAGTCGACCTGTGCGGCAGCTTCGAGCTGATGTGGCTCGCGGC